CGGTGGGAGGAGGAGGAGGAAGAGGAAGGTGTGACTGGAGGTACGGGTGGTTCCCGTGTCCAGCTAGGTGGGCCCCCTGCGTGCGAGGGTGCTGGTCTTGCTGATCTGGGTGACCCCCCCAGGAAAATCGGGCTCTAGTCCCCAGTCTCGCCTGCTCGCCCTCTCCGGGTTTCTGGGCCTCAGAGGGGGGACAAAACGTGCCCCGCTCAGCCAGGTGGCCGGACACAGCCAGGAGGAGACCCGCAGCCCCCCGGGCCCCGTCCCGCGCTCTGTTGGCTCCAGGCGCTGCTGTGTTCACTGAATCACTTAGGTTGGAAAAGACCTTCGAGGTCATCGAGTCCAGCCGCGGTGGATGGGGTAGAGGATCGGTTCGGTGTAGATCGGGCATATTATAAACTAATGTATAGGAACGTACTGGGATTAAGGTAAATAAGGCAAAGGGCTGTGCTTCCAGTGAAGGAGGGAAGAAAATTGAGGGCTGCCACCTTTTCAGGTTTTGAGGGAAATGTTTTTAAAGATTTGAGTAACTAAAGTGAGTCTGTTCAACAATTTTTTTAATTTTTTTAATGTTTTAATCTGGTTTTCTGTTAAGTGGTGCAGTTCACAAAGAAGGTAGTTATGCAATCAGCTAAACACTTGTTTGTTATTAACTGCATTCCTCTCCCTTTATTTGTCTGTCTTCAGCCTGGCAGAAAACAAAGGGTGAAGTGGAAAAGGTTGCGTCTTGAAAAATCAAGGGTAAGTGGTGCTTAACACAAAGGCTGTCCAAGTAAGTTTCAGGCATCTCGTCAACTCTCTAAGTGGTGTGTTACATTTAGTATCTCCAGGTGCACCAAATACCTTTGTAATACTACTTTCTGCGTAGGTGATGTAATCTTGTTCTTATAAATACCTGTAAACATCACCTTTTTCAGTCTTTGTGGGTTTTCTTTTTCAGCCTGCCACAGGCGTTGCAAAGGTGGCTGCTGTGGCATCTTTGTGTCATTAGGTGGCAGAGAGAGACAGGCTATGTTCTACGCTCGTTTGTTCTGAAACCGTGAGCACTCAGAGTGATTGATAGCCTGACATTATTTATAAATAGGTTGGTTAATAGGAGACTATTGAGAAACTAAGCCTTCCTTTTTTTTTTTTTTCTTTTTTTACTTGCCTTAAATGTGATATTGTGTGTAATAGAATAGGAAGGTGTTCTGTTTGACCTGTGGTGGATGTGCAGCAGAAAGGCTGTCGCGTGGCTTTCTGATGGTTTAGCCTTGAAAACGGTAGGATCCTGTTGGTACGTAGACTTGTGTTACAGAAGAATGAGTTGAAGCGATCTGTCGAAAGCCACGCGGCAAGCTGGTCACATCGCTGGGAGCACGGCCTGGGAGTCGCATGCTGGCAGCCCTGACCCTGCTCCTATCTGAAAATAAAAACATGCCTGTGCTACGCGTTTATTGATTTAGCTTCCCTCTCTTACTGGGCCTTTCAAATTTCTGTCGTCGGTGAAACAGTAACCATATAACCAGGCTTTGAAGCACATCTGTATATATTTTCCACTTCTTTTTCAGAGAAAGCCGTGTGACGTGGCAGACCCGGGAGCTCTTCTCAAAGACCTGAGGTGAGCAGTAGCGGATGCGAGTTCCCCTGTTGATAAGCTCCATGCCCCAGCTCGTGTTGCAGATGTGGCTGTAGTGCCCCGTTTGTGTCATTAGGTGGCAGAGAGGAAAAGGCTGTGTCTTTACTAGTGCTCTGAGACCTGTGAGCACTCAGGAATGATGAGCAACCTGACAATTATTTCTTATATTCCCTTTTTTTCTTTAATGTTAATCTTAAATCGTGAAGGATGAACAGCTGTGGAGGGACAGGGTACAGAAGCTACCCCTGTCCTTCAGTGTGGCAGACAGTCATTCTCTTAATGAATACCTTGTTTATGTGACAGGTAAGAGATAAAACTGATTTTTCTGCCATCGTGTTCCACGTTTTAGAAGTGAAGTTTCTATGTTTTACTAACACGCTATGTTAAAAGCTAATTCAGGTTTCTTGTATATATCTTTTATTGTTGTGGAGGAATGGCAAACTCCAGTGTTCTTTACTCTAACAGTCCTGAGTCCTCGGGGATTTGTTCTCCTGACATGTTAGCATCATTAAGGGGCAGAGATGAAGTGGCTTCCTGTGCCTGAAACTTGCAACTGCTGAGAGATTAGTAGCTTGGCATTGTTTCCATGTGTACCTCTTTCTCCAGAGAACCAGCAGAAGATGGAGCAAATTTCCTTTGAAAAGCAGTTAAAATTATGCCGATTTTAACTGCATCAGGGGAAGGTCCTTTCCATTTGGTTTCTTTTTTTCTTTTGCAAGGACAAATAGAAGTTACAGCTCTATTGAATTCTGTTCTTGCCTTCAACAGCCCTTTATGGCCTGGAAGACATCCTTGCTTGCTGCCTGTTCTGTCTGTGAAAGGGCACCTCTTCAGTTTTGCAGGGTTTAGCATTATGTAGATAAGAATTGCACCTGGGAGTGGAGGAGATGGTGGAAACAGGCACTTCAGTTTGTTGTTTCCAAAGTATTGGCATGATCTAGAAACAGTTGGGTGTGGATTTAGCATATGGAGAAAATTGCACCCTGTTCCCAACGTTAATAAAACACTTGGCCAACAACATCTTGCCCGAAGAGTTGTGGTGAACGGAGTTCAATCCAGTTGGCGGCCGGTCACAAGTCGTGTTTGCCAGGGCTCAGTACTGGGGCCAGTCCTGTTCAATATCTCTATCAATGATCTGGATGAGGGGATCGAGTGCTCCCTCAGTAAGTTTGCAGACGACACCACGTTGGGCTGGAGTGTTGGATCTGCTCGAGGGTAGGAAGGCTCTGCAGAGGGACCTGGACAGGCTGGATCGATGGGCCGAGGCCAACTGTATGAGGTTCAACAAGGCCAAGTGCCGGGTCCTGCACTTGGGTCACAACAACCCCATGCAGCGCTACAGGCTTGGGGAAGAGTGGCTGGAAAGCTGCCCGGCGGAAAAGGACCTGGGGGTGTTGGTCAACAGCCGGCTGAACATGAGCCGGCAGTGTGCCCAGGCGGCCGAGAAGGCCAAGGGCATCCTGGCCTGTAACAGAAATAGTGTGGCCAGCAGGAGCAGGGAAGTGATAGTGCCCCTGTACTCGGCCCTGGTGAGGCCGCACCTCGAACACTGTGTTCAGTATTAGGAAAAGGTTTAGATTGGATATTAGGAAAAGCGTCTTCACCGAAAGGGTTGTCAAGCATTGGAACAGGCTGCCCAGGGAAGTGGTTGAGTCACCATCCCTAGAGGTATTTAAAAGACGTCTAGATGTTGCGCTTGGGGACATGGTTTAGTGGTGGACTTGGCAGTGCTGGGTTAACGGTTGGACTTGATGATCTTAAAGGTCTTTTCCAACCTAAACAATTCTATGATCTTGACTTCCAAGGATGCTGAGTAAGTTTGACCAGAAGGTGCAATCAGCAGTCTTCTGAAATGCAGCTTTATAATCATGCTGGCGGGGGGAAGGGGGGAGAAAAACAACCAAACAAACCACCCCCTCCCCCAAAAAACCCAAACTGATGATCTTTTTCCTTCTTACAGTTACTCTGGAGAACAGGACTGAGTTCTGGAACTTGCTGCAAATGTTGAAGGTAGGTATTATGTCCTTTCTTGGAAACATACTAAACCTCAATGTGTTACCAAAACAGTCAGCATCTGGGTAGAAGTCC